AACTCATAGATATTCACCTGAACTAGAACCCCCGCATCTGAGCCGGCATGAACATTTGTAATTCAGGTCTTGTCTAGGCTGGAAGACTCTATAGTGAATGAAGAACCAGTGAAATGATAACATTTAAAAAAAAATCCAAGAGAGTGAAAATTTGAGCCATTGAGAAGGGAAGTGATCTTTAGGCACGCACTGGGGCTGATTCACAACTGTTACCCCGATTTTAAGCAGTATAACTTTTGAAACCAGCAGAGTGAGCCCTGAATTAAACTGGGATAACGATGCAGTGAACCAGCTCTTTGCTGACACCTCATTAACTTTAATGACTAATTCATATTTTTGGAGAAGGGAAGCCTTTGTTGAACTCAGGCTCCAACCCATTCAATTAAGGTGTGGGAGCTCACAATAAACTTCCCTGATACCCCCAGAAAGTCCTCCAGAGAGACCAATCTTGATGTGCCTGATAATTCTAAGGTACAAACCAACCAGAAAAAAGAAACATTTAGGTAAATAAAAACATCTTTGGCTAGAAAAGGGCACACATTCAAAGTTTAAAAAATATATATCTTTTTGTAGCTCACCGTACAAGCTGTCATGTAATCAGTCAGACCTGTCCCTGACCCAATACATGTTAGTTACCTTGTCTGTTTCTTTTCTATGGATGTTTACATGCAGGATAACAATATTTGATAAACAGTCAGGTACTACAAGGATATTAATAAATCAAAGCTTGTGGATACTATCAACCACAAAACAGAAAAGCTTTGCTCTTGGGTGCCTATTTTTATTGTTTACATTTCATAAGCACATGGGATGCTTCTGTCAATGAGGAATTCTCCCCTCCCATCTGGACCCCTGCCACTCTTACCTCTATATCAGTGATAGTCTCTAAGGTGCCACGAGTACTCAGTCCTCAGTGGTTCAGGAGCCAAATTAGTGATTAACATTACGCAAAAGAGCCACCGTACTGTGAATTAATTGTTTCATTTACTATTTTATATATATGTATAGCTTTGTTCTTCCCTCTTTAAAGCCAACGTCATTATATAGATCCTGCAGAAGGAAGGCTTCTATCTCATCTGTGTTAGGGGATTCTATAGGAATCATTATCAACGTATTAAAAGAAGGGAGGTAAATTAGAGCTGCACAGATAGGCCCATCATGGACTTAATCAAGTTTCCAGCCTCCCTGGCTGCAAGAGATTCTTCTCTGAGCTATTTACTATGTTTCATATCTAAGACCCTTCAGCTGCAGTGGAAAATGCTTCATTTTAGGTTCATCTAAATCAGTGGTTCTCAACCTTTTCCATAGTGTGAGCCTCTTTCCCATACCTAGATCCCCTTCCCATCTAGCCAGGATCTAGTTCCTCCCAAAATAAATACAGTCAAAGCAGGGTGGTCATGTCCTTGATGCCTGTTCATTTTCATGACACCTCTAGAGGTCATGACTCCTAGGCTGAAAGCCCCTGATGTGATCTCCTCAATAGCACATTCAAAACCCCCTTAACTGCGATGCTTTGTCTTCTTCTCCATTCCCTTTTCTTGGGTTCTGATCACGGCATAGCCTAGGAGGAGAAATGCAGCCATCTTGATGGGTCATAGGTGGAGATGTGGTTGCTGATATAGCTAGGTCCTGACCCCTTGGCGGCTCTGAAGATCAGGATGAAGGCCTTGAATCGGCAAAGGAAGTAGGGTAGAATCCATTAGAGGATGCAATAAGCTACAGCAATACAGTCTGGAAGTGGCAAATATATGGTTTGCTGTAGCTAGATCTTTGTCCAGGAGCAAGGGGCAAAAACCTCACAGGCAGCTGCATGCTTTGCTCACTACTGTCACGCCCTGATCATCCAGGGTTAGTTATGGCTCTGGAAGGATCCTGACACTCTACCCTTGTTTGCCTAAAGTCTCGGCTAGTCCTTCAAAGCATTGCCAGAGTGAGGAATCAAACCTAGATCTTCTGCATTTCAATCCAACGCTTCATCACAAGGTTTGACTGCTCCATTTATCTCCTTTGCCCAGCCCCATCTCTGGGAATTCTTTCACATTTCTCCTTATGCTTGGAACAGACACTCATCAAACGTGCTCTGTCTCTTAGGGAAAAATATTCCTGAAGACTTACCTGTTCTCCAAAGAACATGAGCTCCAAAGACTACGCTGCACTCTGGGGCTGATCCTGTCAGCTGTTCTGTAATAATGTTGTGACAGGTGCAACAAACAAACTTCAGCCATTTAGATTTGCTGGGGACTCAGCTTAGGGTTGTTGCCCTCTGCTGTGGAGGTGGATAATTGATCCAATGGGATATGGAAGGTTCTTGCACAGCCTAGCAGCAAAATTCTTGGCTGTCCAGAGAAGGAAGAGAATCTTGGAAGTAGGCTGGAATCCAACACAAGTAAATCCTTGAAATGGGATTGTTGCCTGCTGGTATCTTACCTCAGTCTACACTAGTGGGGAAATATTTTATACTGTGAAGCTCTCTGTCCAGTACCTGGGACAGAAACTGGAAAAATGGGATCATCCGACCAGCAACAGGACAGATGGGTCTTTCTGGGAATTCAGGAGGGATGTTGCAGGGGCCAGATTTTCAGCTGATGTAAATCAGCATAGTTCTAATGTCTACACACACATACACCAGCTGGGCACCTGGATGTAGATCTTTACAAATCACTCAGCCATTCCAAAGCTGTGATCTGTCTGATCTTGCACAAGAGCAGGAAAAACACTTTGTTAAGTACAAGAGAGAGACATGCACGCCCAGTCCAAAGCAAACCCCTTCTGGCAGTTCCGAGCTTCTTATCAGAAATAAAAGACACCCACATGAGCAACGATTATGAAATCCATTCAAAGAGTATCCACTAGCCCCCATCCTCTCCCTTTTCTCATTCAAATTCTGAGCCAGGCTTAGGTTAAAAATGTATATTTGTTTTTACAAGGTAAAGTTCCAGGGACTTTCAAGATTCTTTTAAAGCATTTCAAAACAATATTTTTATCTGGCTACTATTGCTTTCTGGCTTCTTTTAATCAAAATTGGTTTTAGATACAATATTATCAGATGCAAAAGTAATAATTGGCTCTTGTACAGAGCATTTCATTCATCTGCCTCAATACAATGTACAAAGCAAAATCAGTGTCATCAGCCCCTTTTTAAAGTTGGGGAAACCAAGGCATGGAGCAGCAAAATGACTTACTCAGAGCCACATAGCAGGTCAGTGTCAGAGAAAGGAATGATATCCCAGTCCAATACTCTGTGAAGGCATCATTCTAATTTAAAACAAGGTTCCTTTGCATCACTCTAGACTAAATATAATTTACCTTCCCATCAAGAACCCCTTTACACTGCAGAGTGGTGTAAAGGGACCTTTGTGGAAATGAGAATCAGGCCCTAAGTGTGTGTTTGTTTTTTTTAAATATAAACTGAACCTTGTGTCTCTCTCTTTTATGGTTTTGTGATATTTAGGCACAACCAAACACTGTGTGATGACAACAAACTATATGTCACTTAGATTTCACAGGTCATTTTGCATTTGTTCAGGATAGAAATTAAAAAGAAAACAGTTGTGTTCATTAGCCAGTAAGTGCTTTGAGAGAAGGTTTGGTCACTGGGAATAGAAGAGGTGTTATAAGAGAGATGTGGTACAAAGGATAAACCAACATGGTATTAGCAAACACAAGCTTTCTGAAATGTTTTTCTGTAAGTCTGTATAAAAATACTCTGCAGGATCTTTAACAGGGCTAGAAATTGGTAGCTTGACAATTTGTCTCTTGGGATTCTGGTGATATTGCAAATTAGGAGTCCAGAGTTTCTAAGGACGCCTATTACCTTTGTTGAGAGTTCAAGTTGTCACTTGGTTATTTTCTGATTTAGAACTTTTAATAGAAGGGAAGTTTTATTCTTTCTCTGATGGAATGTCACCATGCAAAGAAAGATTCTTTGGTTTCTTTCCATCTTTAGTAAGAACTCTTTGCCCTTTTGTGTTGCCGTTCATCAAAGGACCTCAAGGAATGTTACAAATATTTCATTAAAGGGTCACCTTAAACTGGAATTTTTAAAAAATTAATAATTTTTTAAAATTACCAGCTTCTGACAAAGCACTCTTCAAACAGGATGTCCTGCTTTCTAAATTCATTTTTTACATGCATACATATTTTTCTGCCTCCCTGCTGATATTTAAAAGGCTCCTTGCAGCTGTGGAAAAGTAACTGACTCTATCCAGGGATCAAAGAAACTGACTATGCACAACAAGGTGCTGTCATAGGCACAAAATGGAACAAGTAGAGAATTAAAGGGTTTTCTGCAATTTCTTTCAGTTTTAGTAATTCATCTATATTACATACCCCATCACTCTAGTATCTGAGCACCTCAGTCTCTAATGTATTTATCCTCACAGCACCCTGTGAGGTAATGCAGTGTTATTATCCCCATTGTACAGATGGAGAACTGAGGCATGGAGAGCCTAAGTGACTTGCCCAAAATCACACTGGAAGTCTGTGGCAGAGCAGGAAATTGAAGCCAGGTCTCCCAAATCTCAGGCTAGTGCCCTGACGAGTTGATCATCCTGTCTCTCTAATCTTAGTAATTCTAGATGTTTACATGTAACTAAAATCGGTGCAAAATGTTTGTGTTGATAGCATCTTGTTAAGCCCTGCAGCACCTCTGTTTTATACCTATTTCACAGATGTGTAAACTGAGGCAGAGGGAGCTTTAGTGACTTGCTAAAGTCCCAGAGCAAGTCAATGAGCAAACCAAGACTAGAACCCAGATGTCCTGACTCCAGGTCTCCTGTTTCAATCATTAGGCTGCACTTTGACCCTAAGGAGGTGAGAGGACATAAGGCACAAAGGATGCAGTCCACAAGTTGCACTTAGGGTGCATCTGGATGGTACAGTATGGCTAATTGTACCTAATTGAGCCTAGAAATGGCTGGGCAAGCCCCTCTGGACCTGAGGTGGGTAAAGATTCATCTCCATCAGCTTTCAAGAAGACAACCTAAAATTTCACTCCTTACCTTGTTTGCTAAGCAGTAAGAATGGCCACAGAAGAGAGAAAAGGCTGCCCTGCTTCTTGCACAATGAGTAACTCGCAATATCCCTGGAGCTGTAGGTTTCTTCCGTGCTTTGGTCCTGCATCGGATGGAAGAGAGCTCAAGGTCCCCTTTGGTATTTATGTCACCGTGTTAGCTCAAACTGGTTGACAGCTCATCTATATGCAATGGCACATTAAAGCTGTGCTTTACTTTATAAACTCTGCTAGAAAGGCACAGCAGTGGCGGCTAAATGGTTTAGATATAGCAGAGGTGTCGAGCTGGCAAAGCTAACTAAGGGAACCTGTGCAGAAGGACCTCGGAGGGCCGAACGAAGCTGCAAGCCACCCCCTGCAAGCCTCCCTCCCCTGCACCCTCAGGGTAGTCACAGTGGAAATTGCTCAGCACTTGTTAGAATCAAGTGACCTATGTTACTTATGGGCTCAGCAGGTTAAGGAATAGCCAGGGATCTCCTGACACCTGCCTCTTTTCTGGGCAGGGCTGCTCACACTCTGCATGGTTCATATAATCTGATCTATGGAGTTATGGGGACATCTCTGCCCTCCCCTCCTGATCCCTGACTAGGACCTGGGGACAAACAAAGGAGACGCCATCCCCAGCACATCCTTACATTGAGCCCAGTGCATCCTGGGAGAGGACTCTGGGAGTTTGATTATTACTGGGCGGTTGCTGTCATTGCCATGCGGTGCAGACACAGTCACAGAAGCTCATAGTAATGTACATCTTCAGTGTTTCTCATTGCTTTGGTTTAAGGCGCTCCCAATCCCCTTGGTCCTAACATGGATTAAAGGAACTGAAACACTCTTGGGGGTTGGCAGCTGACCAAGCCTTGCAGACTCCGTTAGAATTTCTGGTTAGACAGCAATCTGATCTCCAAGAAGAAGCTCCCCATCTGAACACTCAGGTTACCCATCATTCGTGGGTCAATGGAACTCGGAGCTTCAAGCAAACAGAGACATCGTCAAGCCTTGCCTCCTGCAAGGTCTGGACAGTCATGCTGGAGAAGATCTTTCCCCTCCTGTTATGACTCTTTGATGGAGTGGTGGTGCGGCATCCATGCTTGGTGGCTATTTCCCAACAGCAGATGTACAGCAACATAATGGAACTGCAGATTTAAAGGGCCAGATCCTACTCCTGTTGAAGCCAATGGGAGTTTTGCCACTCGCTTTAGTGAAAGAAGCATCTGCCCCAAACTGTTCTGAAGAGGGGAAAAACACCAGTATAAAGGCTTAACCATTCTTATTGGTCATCCCCTTGTCTTACTGGCTCAGTCATTAATAATCGATCTAATAACACTTTTATGCAGCACTTTTCAACTTCAAAGCATGCCAATCCATTAGCTACTCCTCCCAACACCCCTCTGAGGCAGGTAAATAAATTCTCTGGCAGGGCTCCAAATAGCCCCCATTTCTCTCCTCCCCAGTTTCTTTAAATAGGTGGGTCTCCTTGAGTGCTCCTGCTCCAGAAAGGTGCTCCAGATGCCCTGGAGAGAGGCATCTGCCCTGTAATGACTGAAGGGGATGGATTTCTCGAAGAAAGCCCAGTCTTCCCAATGCAAAAGGAAAGCCAAATACTCTGGGGATATTATTCAGAGTGGTCTTTTCAGCAACCCTATCAACTACCAGCTGTCTCATGGTCCCATCTAGCTCACATGTATTTTCTCATGGGCCCATAAGCTTAATAGCCTAAGTCAATAGCCTGTTCTGTTGTCCCAGTTGTTTCTTCTGCCCCTTTGACTGGCATTCTAGCACCAGCAAGCAAGGTGGTGGAGTCATCTGCAGTTGTCCTGTGCTTTTTCACAGGCTAGACAGTCAATACGAGCACATGATACATTTCAAGCCATGTGCTTTCACTGCTGGGGCCACCTAATTAATCCTTAAAGGAAGGAAATTTCAAGTGAAGTGTAATACCAACAAAAGGTGCTCGATTGGCAGTCCCTGAGACCAGAACCCTCTGTTTCTCCATAGAACAGCATGGAAAGCCTCAGCTCCAGACTTGCTTCCTTTTAGCAAAGAATCTGAGGACTGACCATGTCTGGCCACTAAACTCTTCTCTCATCCCAAAATGCCTCGGTGCCTGACTCATCCCAATATCACTCTCCAAGTTGGCGGTTGAGGCATATTGGGATAATAGGACAGTGCAGCAGCCGTATCTGGTCAGTCCTTGGCCTCTCTTCAGATGAGGAGCCAATTAATGCCAGTTATGGTGGTGGTGACTTTTCAGTGTGGACCCCTGTCAACTGGGAACTAGATCGAGATCCACCAGCAGATTTCACATGTGCCACCAACTCAACCATAAGTAGCAGAGGCTGGAAGGAGAATTGATAGGGTGTTGGTGGCTCATCAGTCGGGGACAATCCCATGAAGGGGAATTTGGAAGTCCACAAAATGGGACTTCTCTAGTGTCTAGGTGTCTTTAGGATATGCATTTATGCAGTGCTCTGCAAATTCTTCCTGATACCTCTCAGGGCAGATACTTGCAGACAAGAAGAACATTGCTGTGTGGGGGAAGGTTTCCTGTAACCGGATAGCCCAATACTTCCCCCATAGCAAGCCCTCAGGGTAAGACACCTGCAGTGAAAATGCCACATTGAGAAGAAGTTGTCTGTTGTGTGACTTGGACGGCAGGGGAAACAAAGCCAAATTCTCACTGGAAGGAGTAAAGCTCATTACTTTCGTCGAGTTTAGCAGCTTTGGCCAGATCAGTGACCAAGGATTGTTACAAAATGAGAGGGGCAGGGAAGGTGACTGCCAGAGTATTACTTGGTTCACCAGAAAATGTAGGGCACTGATGGTCCGTGCCAAGAGCAGTTCCTCCTTCCACTCACTGTAAGCTGGGTGGATTAATGAATAACACTTGGCTCCAGGTGATCCAGCCCTAACAGGGTGATGGAGCAATAAGTCTGAATCAGAGCAGTGAGCAGCACAGCTGATTGCAACCTGTGGCAGGACCTGGTAGCAGAGGGGATTGGCAAAGAGTCCATGGCAGAACAGGGAAATGAAACCCAGGAGTCCTGAATCCCCTTCCCCTATTCTAATTATCAGACAGTACAGTCTTCATTCTGTGGGCTAAGATAAGCATACAGTAGGAGGCAAGAGGAAGGGGAAAGTACGATGCTTCTTCTGTAGCCTTTCATTGGCAGCGACTGGGATTTCCTTATATTGACAGGTGTGGACACATCAGCCGCACAGCCTTGCTACTTCCCCAGTTCAGTCCTAAGCAAAGCGATACAGACTCTGGGCCGCAGGTGTCCCATGTGTCCAAGGCTGTCACGCCTAGGGCTGATCTTACAAACCCACAGAGTTTAGATCTGACTCCAGCCTTCTCCAACATAGGTGTTTGGAGCTGTGATTTTTGGTTTGATAGCTGAAGAAATGAGCCAACCATGACATTTGGGGGTGTTTAGACTGTACAGTCCAGATCTCCCATTAGTGTAACTCGACACAGCTCCACTTTACACCAGCTGAAGTTCTGAGGTTAGGTTTTGATATGGGTTCATCTCTGGTCAGGGCCGGCTCCGGGCCCCAGCGTTCCAAGCAGGTGCGTGGGGCGCCAGTGAGAAAGGGACGGCAGTTCCTCTGGCCACGGCGGCAATTCGGCCGCAGCTTCTCCCCTTCGTCGGCCGCAGCAGCAAATCGGTGGCAGCTTCTTCCTTTTGCCGACCGTGGCAGTAGTTTTTTTTCACTGCTTGGGGTGGCAAAAACTGTAGAGCCGGCCCTGCCTCTGGTCAAGTCAGGCTTCTGTGAGAGACACAGGAGTTCACATCCTTCATTTCTTTTTGAAGGGCTTAAAGTCAGCAATGAGTTACAGCCCAGTGACCAGGCATCTTAATTATAATTTGATACAAGTACAAAGCATCTGTTCCTTACAGTACATACCATCCCATAACAAACCTCCTCAGATGAGACAGATTAAAGTGACACCAAGCCCCAAAGGAAGGGCTTGTTTCATCTCAGACGCTGCGTTTTTCTCCCTCCCCTCTCCTCCCCTCCATTGCCTTCTCATCTACCCACACACAGACAAAGAGGAATAGATTTAGATAACTAGCAGAAGTTTAAGTCATAGTAGATGGTATAAGAAGCATCTAATCTAAACTCAGTAGTATTCAGCAGTAAGAGTCAGTAAGTCCTATGGCCTGTGTTTATGCAGGAGGTCAGACCGGATCATCACAATGGTCCCCATATGGCTTTATAAATCTAAGGATGAATCTATTCCTGGCTCTGTCACTGAGCTTGATCAAGTCACGTTACTGCTCTGTGCCTCAGTTTCCCCATCTGTAAACTTGAGATCATAACCCACTTTTTCAAAGTGCTTGCAGAGCTGGGAATAAAAAGCTCTACCTAAGTTCAGTGCAAAGCATTATTTGTCTCGCTGCAGCCACCTGTCACTTTACAATTCTTTCAAAGCAGCTGACAATAGGCTGGATTGTCATGGTTGCTCATCTGGAAATTCTGAATGGATCAAATTCAGGGTGGCGCCTTTTGAATCAGGGGTTCACCTCCCTGCGGATGCCCCCAGGTGTGTCTGTTTTTGTCTTGAAAGCCTCTATTTTCAGCTCAGCCCACTGTTGACCATTTTGACCTTCCTTTTTCACCAGCTCTTACTTTGGGGAGTCATTCCATTCTCTGCCTGTTGTCCTGCTAGCTTTCGTAGAGTGGCTGCATCTTCTGTGCTGTTAGACCCAGAGTTTGGGGAGATGGGGCGTTATTAGCAGTATTATTATTATTTTTACTTTGGACAACATCCCAGTTGCCTAGAAACAGCATTAATAGAACAGAATCCGTCCCCAGGGTGCATTGCTACATTATGCTTCTCACAGGGCCTTTCTTTTGAGGATCTCAAAGCACTTTCTCAGCATTAATAAATGAAACTCCTCCATGCCCCAAGGAGGTGGGGGAATGTCATTATTCTTGTTTTGCAGGGAGCCACAGAAGGCCAAAGAAAGATGAAAGGCTTGGGTTGAAATCCCGGCTCCACGAAGCCAATCCCACCCCTGCTCTCCCATGCAATTTGTGGGGGAGCTGAAAAGCATGTTATCAGTGTCTTACCCAGTATCACTTGGGACCCTATCCAACTCCCACTGAAGCCAATGGAAAGCTCCCCACCCCTTTGGCTTGTCATGGGCTGGATTGAGCCCACGGTGAGCAGCAGTTGAGCACAGAAGAGAGCAGCAGCCCTCAAGTTGTGCAAAGTGCAATCTAATTATTTCTCGGTGGTGGGAATGTGGTACCAGAGTAGGGTGACCAGGAAGCCAGTGTGAAAAATCAGGACGGGGGTGGGGGATAATAGGCGCCTATATAAGACACCGCTCCTGAATATCAGGACTGTCCCTATAAAATTGG